TTATGCTCTGCGCCCACGCAGCCAATCGCGGCCACCACACCATGAAATAAGTCTGAGATTGGCGATGTGCAACAGACCCACGGCACGACTGCATAGTGCATGACTGTAGGGCACTCCAGAAGTCTCCTGTTCGAGTTTAAAAGCTCAGACTCATAAGCCTACCTTTGACTCCCCTCCCTCCAGTGACAGTGCCTTCGTGTTCTTTTCAACAAGAACCTGGGATGCGCTTCCATGTTACGTTGTTGCCGAATTTATAGCCCCAAATCTCCGATCAGGCCCAAGTATTGATAACCTTTCGATTCAATGGTAACTCGAGTAAACCTTCTGAGTAGTAGTAGCTCGCTAAACTGCGAAGCCGGCGAGGACTGCCTGTCACGTATTGCCCTTTGTCAAGGCTTATGCCCTAAGGTCACCCATATTTTTCAGAATTGCTCCGTTTTTTTTTTCTAGGCCGTGAAATTCTGCTCCGCCTATGGCCTCTACGAGGGATTCGTCTACATTTATTGCTTTATTCTGCGAGATCACGCGACGGCATTTCGTTGGCTTACCAATCTTCTCCACGAGCCTGCGAAACCGGCTGGACGGACTTCCACCGCATCATCTCAAGGTTTGTTATCCCAAAAATACATCGCTTACACCACAGACACGAACTGAAGCTCTTTTTTTAGCGTTATCTATTTTATACGCGTTTTGCAGGCGAATGCTGATTTTTGCAATATAATGTGGACATAATTTATACACCCTCTCTCTCCCGCCCCGTTCCGGGCGGGACAAGGAAATAAGAACGCCCGTAATGCGGATGACATTGTGCTAAATTCCAGTAAAATTTGCGTTAAGGGTAGGAATATTGCTCTCTGCGGCGGCAACGCATCTCTCCCATCTATGTGTCTGCTCTCAATTTTTCTGCTCAATTGCTCCTCTTTATTTCCTGCATTGTAGCGTTTCCTTCGAAACCTGTTGATCAGATTGAAGTGGTTAACAGTATTCTGCTTTTCCTACGAGCCATATTTGCTGCCGAGGAGTTTTTTGGAAGTCCACTTCCTTCGGAATTGTGCGAAGATGTGCAAAATGAGGTAGGTTTGTGCCGATCGTGCCGACTTTCTGACTGTTTTGTTTGTGACTGTATTTTGCTCGTCATATGCCCTCAACGTTTGGTGCATTTCTCTATCCGCTTACCTAACAAATGAAGGCACACACGCACAGACCGAAGGCAGTTATTAGGTGTTAGTTAAGGAAACCATAAGAATCACGGTCAGGGCACCGAACGTCTGGAGTCTTATCGTATCTGATGCCCGTGCGGGCAAACCAACTACGTCGTAGAAACTGTATATCTGCTCTGGACGCGAATTTCCAAACAGGCAACAGCAGCAGCATAGAAAAATTATGCTAATTCTCAAGTCACAGCTCATTTGACAAGACCCGGCCAAATATTTTTTTAGCTTATTGTACTCGGGCCCCTAGTCTATGAATATGTGCGGTGACCTTCGATGCTGAGACTTGGTTTGGCTAAAACAACCAGCGACTCGGGGAGAGGGGCGCAGGCGGACACATTTTCCTACACCGATATAGGTGAGGCAGGTGGCTGAACCAGCCCCATGCCAACATACAACATGGCTGATGAAATTTCAGCGAGTAACCACTTGCTTGTCGACCATCGAGCAATTAGCTTACCAGAGGGCAGCCATCCTCGATGATGGGGGGGGGGAGCCATTAATCGTTAAAGGGGTAGAAATGAATCGTAGGGCCGCCCTATGATAAAGGTCTCTCAGCCCAAATCTCTGACCGATTTCGTGGTTAAATAATTGATTAATGACCAGTTAATTCGTGATAAGTGCACAGTATAAAATAAATCCAAAACATTTGTAATCTAGGTTAAACGTTTGCGAAAAAAGAAAAAACGCCAATTGGTTAGCAAAGGAAGCCTATAGACCAAAAACACTATTAAAGCAACTCATATTACTATTAGGCGGCCCTACGAGTTGTTCCTGTCGTTATAAGTATGCAGCAGTATAGCCACCGCATCCTATAAATACTACAAGTTTGTGTACGAATTACCCGCTGCTGATGCTGTCCCTGAAGATAGGTTCGACCTTCCTTTAGATCCGCCTGACGAAAACGGTTCTTGTTCCAGCACTCGTGTTTGCTTCTTCTGCATTAAGTCTCGAGGCTCGCAGTTTCACTTGTATCAGCAAGACGAAAACAGATGTGGCAGGTATCAGTGTTAGTTTTATCAATTTTAGCAGAGAATCATGTTCCCGCTGCTTTTTGATGCGCCCTTAAACTGTTTGAATTTCGCTGCCCACACAGCCGTCATTTGAATTTGTAGACACACCGTTGAAGCCGACTGCCAAATTGGGCCGTTTCTATCCTCGGTCCCCTTACAAGAGTGCTCTGTACAGAACTGAATGTCAGTGCTTTTGAACTTTGCTCCACGATCAGCCTACCTTCCTGCTATCCACTAGCCCCCCCCCCCGCTGTATATATCGCACAGTCAGCCCAGTGTGTGTTCGT